ATCAAACCCAATAAGGATTAAAAATGATCATATTTATTGCCAACAGGGAACCATTTATGATTCAAGGTATATTCAACCCTAAACCCTAAACCCTAAACCCTAAACCCTAAACCCTAAACCTAAGGTATATTCCTTAATTAAGGGATATAGGAGTCTCTGGGTAATTGTAGGCTCTGGACTGAGACGCTTCGGCCGAGGGCGCGCTCAACCACCGAGCAGGCCGTGGAAGTCGAGGAGGCGGCCTCTGGAGCCGTGATGAGATGGCTTTTGCGGATTTCGCTAAGTTCTAGGGTTTAGGGTTTAGGGTTTAGGGGTTTTAGGGTTTTGGGGTTGAATGGAGCTCAGATTTCATCACATTTGAGAGAGGCTTGCAACATATCCATCTTGCATGCGCGGGTTGGAGTAGGTTTGAGGGCTAGTGCGAAGCGCTCAGCGGCAAAGCTCGACTTTGTTGGAGCAGGATGAAGATGATGACGACGAGAAGCAGGATGTAGAAGAGGCCCGGCCACGAAAGTCCTACTGCCTGTGAATTGCGGCTTCAGGCATCGCAAGAGCGATGACAAGGGACCTAAACCCGAAACCCTAAACCCTAAACCTAAAACCCTAAAACCCCGAAACCCTAAAACCCTAAACCCTAAAACCTGAAAACCCTAAACCTTCTTTGTAAGTGCCTTGCTGTCTTTCTGCACAGCATCCCAGAGGGCATGGAAATTGCAGGGAGGAGTTGGATGGCTCCCGTGCCTTCTGCGATTTGCGTGCTTCGAGACCGTAGAATGTGCCTCGTAAGTCTAGAACGGTTTAGGGTTTAGGGCTTTGGGTTTGCGAACCTCAAAGAGTCAGCTTCAGCTCTACATTCTCACCCTGCATTTTATCCGAAACATGATCTCTCTTAAAGTCCCCATATATTTTATCAAAAAACGCCGCCAAGGCCTTTGTCTGATTATCACGGGCCCTGTATTGCAGACCTGCCCAGGATGAGCCAGACATGCTGGCAGAGGACGGCAGCGCCGTCCATTGAGTGTAGGGCCCAGAGACTCCAATACCCCTTAATTAAGGAATCTACTCTAAATCATATTAGGGATCCTATTATAATTTAAGGTATATTCCTTAATTAAGGGGTATTTGAGTCTCTGGGGGCTTGCCGTTTAGGGTTTAGGGGTTTGATGGTTTAGGGGTTTTCACTCAACCCTAAACCCCTAAACCCCTAAACCCCTAAAGCCCTAAACCCCTAAACCCCTAAACCCCCAAAGCCCTAAACCCCCAAACCCCTAAAGCCCTAAAGCCACACTGTGCCCTGGTACCTCATCCTGGCCTTACGCGCTTCCTTCTTTCGCAGCCTTTCCATGAGGGCTACGCGGCCGTACCACTTGAGTCTGAAAGGCTTTGGGCTTAGGGTTTAGGGTTTTGGTCTTAAACCCTAAACCTCAAACCCTAAACCCTAAACCCTAAACCTTAAACCCTAAACCCTAAACCCTAAACCTTAAACCCTAAACCCTGGGATATCGACACCGAAAACAAGCTGTACCAGTTTATGTCGTTTGTTTCGCTGTCGGCCCTCAACCTGAAACCGCTAAGCCCCAGACCGTCCGCCCTCGGTTTAGGGTTTAGGGTTTAGGGTTCAGGGTTTAGGGTTTAGGGTTTACGGTTTAGGCAGACTGTTTCAGGCAGTTCGCACAAGACGTCATGGTCCCTGCTCCTTGGACACTCCAGACGCTCCACACCCCAAGACCTCCGCAGCAAACCGTGGAAATCCTAAACTGCCCAGGGTTGCTTCGGACACGGTCGATCTGGGCTTCGGGTTTTGTCGACTTGTTCTGGTGGTCTGGGGTCGCAAGGTGTCGTGATACACTTGCTCTCAGGTTTCCATTCTTCTTCTCAGCCCGAGCGCCAACACCCCAATTCATTACAAGCCCGGTGTGCAGTGCTTATGGCTCCAGCAGAAATCCCGAGCCAGAAGACGACAGGCTACAGATGCAGTTTTCCACTTCCGAACAGTAGGAGCGCTTGCGACAACTTACATGCAAAGTCAGAATTAGCTGCTGAGGGAGATCAGCTGGAATTTGGGGTTTAGGGTGCAGGAACTAGGGTGGAGGGTGTAAGGTTGATGTTCTAGTGTTACCATTTAGGCTTTAGAGTCCGCTGCCATGAAGCAGCTGCGCAAGCTGCAAAACGACGCAGGCGTAGAGGCCCCTGAGGACGTCAGCGATGACGAGCCTCAGACGAAGGCTGTCTGGCTTCGCGACGGAGGGTTTATTGTTGTAGTGGTTTTCAGGGTTATGGTTCTTGTTTGGGGGGGTTCAACATAACTATGTGTCTTTGTATTTGAGGAAGCTGCTGCTTCAGTTTTTAGATCCGGGGGCCCCGAACTGTTGGAAACTCACGTAGCGGAGAACCGTTATACAGCCTCAAAGCACTTCAACCCTATCCTTGAATCTTCCACTAGATCTGTATATATAGGCTCAAGGCTGGAGGCCTAGAAGGGCTGCGGCCAGACGTGGGTTAGGGGTTATGGTTTAGGGTTTAGGGTTTGGGGTTCAGCGCTGGAAACCGTGGCAAGTTTGGAAACCCTAAACCTTAAACCCTAAACCCTAAACCCTACACAGACCTTCAGGGAGGCTTCGGGAAAGCCAAAACCCAAGCTTTCGACCTTTGACCTCCCTAAACCCTAAACCCTAAGGGTTTTAGGGTTTAGGGTTTAGGGTTTAGGGAGGAGTTCTGGTGGAAGTGGTTGTGCGACTTATAAGGCCCAGAGGTAGTAGCCGGAAAGAGGAGCAGCAGCAGTGGAAGCAGCAGTAGTATAGAATGTGGAAGCAACCTTTGCTGCTAGGACTTGTCATTATAGCAAGTGCTCCGACATCAACGCAGGAATGTGAGTGTTGGCCGTACTGGTCGCCGTGGGTACGTCGATATCGTTATCGCTTCAGCCATCGTATTCTGGTGTGGCCGAGATTGTCATCGCTTCAGCCCTAACCGTGCACAAGCCATGTTCAGCCTACCCATAGGGTGCATAGTGGTTCCTTTTTGGGATTACCTTATGGGATTCTGTATATGAACCCCAAACAGGAACTACTCTAGGGCCTATGGGTAAAGCCCCAATTTACGCTAAACCTCAAGCCCTCTGCGGCCTGCAGCACGGAGGCCATTGATGCCGAAGCAGCCGATGACGAAGTCACGTTGAAAATGGCAGGGGTGCCCAGCTCAAGAGCAACTGAGGTACTCACTGATTAATGTAGACTCCATGTTAGTAACTTCCCCTTCCTTATCGACTCAAGCAAGAATATCCCAATTTCGGTCAGTTTATAGGACGGCAGGTGATG